AGCAGGTGTGATGATTCTGTTAGTGGGGTTTACTGAATTTTCTATGAGGGTAGTCCTTGGTCTGTTCATTGTACCTGTCAGTGAATCCAGACCTAGCTGTGTTGCTTTTAATAAAAGGCTGGTTTTGTTTTCTTTTTCTTTAAGCATTTGACTATCCAAAGGTTGAAAATGGAAAACAAAGGCAATAAATACATATACCATAGTTGGCCAATTTGAAAAGCATCTTCAGAGGGATGCAAGTGTTTTACTTGGAAATGTGTGTGGAGGATTGTCCTTTCCGCCCCCCCCCCAGTCTATGGCAAGAAATACGCTTTCCCTTATAAACCTCTCTCTTAGGCAGGACAAATTTCTAGAATGGTCCCAGTGACACTTTGTTTAGAATAACTGCTTTGTTCGCAGACTTATAGAGTGTTCTGGCAGCATGTGGCAGCATCTTCCTTTCCCCACCCCTTTTTGTCTAGTATGTAAGTATTGCATATAGTCAAGTATGTAAGCATTATGGTAATTTTCAGAGTTGATTTTAGAAAGCATTCTGACTTTTTTCACAGTGTTACCAACAAAGGAGGTGGTATTTTAAATGCAAATAAGGCAGTTTGGAATCTAGTCCCTTACTCTAGCTTCCTAATGGAAGTTAGTAGAACTGGGTTTTGCATTGATTGCCTGGAAGCTCTTTGGAAATAGTGGGGCCTGTTGTGATAGGACAAGGGGTAATGGCTTTAAACTAAAAGAGGGAAGATTTAGACTAGATGTAAGGAAGACATTTTTTACACTGAGGGTGGTGAAACACTGGAACAGGTTGCCCAGAGAGGTGCTAGATGCCCCATCCCTGGAAACATTCAAGGTCAGGTTGGATGGGGCTCTGAGCAACCTGATCTAGTTGAAGATGTCCTGTTCATTGCAGGGGGGGTGGACTAGATGACCTTTAAAGGTCCCTTCCAACCCAAACTATTCTATGATTCTGGGATTCTGTGATTCTATGATTCTATGAAATCTGTGACAGTATTTTCAAAAGCAGCGATTCAGTTGATACCAGTGTGAGTCCTAAACTACTTCTAAAATGTATATGAGTTGCCTGAATATCTTAGACATTAAATGTGCAGAAATATCAAGTCTGCTCTTTCCTATCCATGCTACTGTCT